AGAACATGAAGTTGGTCCCCATATATCAACATGTATCATATCAAAACAAGATACAGTAGAAGAGTTACTTAAAGGAAAAGGTAACTTTTTTACTTAGCGAAGTGGCGAATATCACGTAGTGAGAAAGAATTGGTAATGATCTTGTCATCAATAGAATGTAAAAATTCCAAACTAAAAGTAGACAAATGACCTAATCAGAAATGCCCAAGATCAAAATCTGGACTATTACAATGAGTTATTGAATTAATAGAACTATTATCATGGAAAACAGGTTGAACAAGGTGACAAAGTCCAGCTTCTTGTCTAGCTAACCCAATCATCTTCCATTGTAGCAGATTCTAAATGATATAGAAATGCGAATGAAAAACAAGAACACAATTAGAATGTTTGATGAGTTTGCTGGTTGAAATCATGAAAAGATGAAGATGCAAAGGGCAAAGAGAAAGTCTTTAATTATAGTGAAATTGAGGCACACAAAGAACATTAGGAAGGACAAGATTGGATGAAAAAGATACTTTGCCAATATGAATAACAGGTATAAGTTCATTATTTGGCAATCTCACAAAATAATTGGTAACTGGTTTGGGATTGATGAGAAAGTCTAAAGAACAAGTAATGTGATCAAAGGCACCTGTATCAAGTATCCACGCTGTAGAATTTTTAAAAAAAGGTGTGGAAGGAGATAAAGACATACTAGTAGCTATGTGTATATCCTGATTAGGCATAGAGACTGCTGTATATGCATTTGAAATATTAAGCGACTGCTGATATTGGTCCTTGGTAAACATAAAGGAGTCTGGTGAAGCAAGTGAAACATGATTTGCAAGAGAAGAACCTACTGAATTCATATTATCACGATCTGAAAAAAGAATTTCAGAATTGACACCATCAGCAGATGGTTGAGAGGATCTGTAATTGGCTCGATATCCAAGAGGATATCTATGCTTCTTGTAACATCTATTTTCAATATGTCATATAATTCCATAGTATGAACATATTGGCTTCTTATAATTATGACCACCTCTGCTATCATAACAACTTCTAGCAGAAAATCACCTCTGCCAAAAACACCTCTCCCAAAAATATTACTTCTACTAGAAGAATTGAAATTATTTCCTCTTCCAAAATTAGAAAAGTCTGATTTTGTGATCTAATAGCATAGGCTATTGTTTCTAAAGGAACATGAAAATCAACATGATCTAATTGCCTTTTTTGCTGTAAAACAAGTCCAAAAACTCTATTTATGGGAGGCATTGGTTCTATTAAGAAAATATGAGATCTACTTGTCAAAAACTTCTTAGTGAGTCTAGTTAAAAACCTTATCACACATCAAGATTCTTGATAGTTTCGTACAGTAGATAAGGCACCATAAGAATAGGTAGGAACACTCAAACTAGTTTTCTAACTAGATCACTAAAAAAGTATTGGAAGAGAACTGTTTGATAGACTAAGGGGTATATAGGTTGGGTTGGAAAGAATGGTTGAAAGATATTAAGACTAGACCAAGAAGACCAACCACCTCTCCTATGGCATAAGAAAGCTAGTAAAGGCACTAGCCTAGTTACTGGGCAAGGTGTGATCCATAATAGCCTTTGTAGCGGCGAAAGGTGCCTGCTCTACCCGATTATCCCTTTGCTAAGCAAAGTCACGAAGCTGGCTGACTAGGCTCAAGTAGAGCTTAAGCCTAGAGGTGTTGGCTAAACTCACCGTAGAGTTCAGGAGCGAGCGAGACTCTCTTGGTGAATGCAATAAGAATCGGCTGCTTGCTGCAACAGAGCTTAGAGTGCAAGCAAGAATAGATATAAGATTCACAAACTCATCCCAAAGGATTTTTAATTTGGTAAAGTAATTTGTAACAGATAAATCTCCTTATTGGAAAGAATAAATCTGCTTTTGCAAATCAAAAATTCATGAAGAATCAACTCTATCAAATATATCTCAAAGTTTCCATACATCCATGGCATTATCAAGCCAGATGATACTCTGAGCAATAGAACCGGATAAAGACCTTACCAACCAAGAAAGAACCTCAGTGTTACAGTACTGCAACACAAGAAACATCGGATCAAGAACATTAGATGGAATAATACTGCCATCTATAAAGGAAAGCTTATTCTTTGATAGTAATGCCATCTTCATAGCTTCTTGCCAAGACTGATAATTGACAACAAAATAGCTAATAAGCCAACTACAAATCTAACTCACTAATTAATATAAGTTAATTAAGCTAACTATAGTTGATAATAAATGCAGATATGTATTGTTTGGGTTTTAGGTTCAAAGATAATGATAGTTTGGTTAGGTTCTTTATTGGTAGAAGGAGCAGTGTTAGGGATGGGGGATTGCAATATTCAATGGAGAAAGGGAGTAGAGTGTGTTAGGGGTAAGGTTTGGGTTTTGGTTTGACGAGAATGAATGGCTAAGAACATCTTTATTGAGAATTGAATTTCAAAAAAAAAAAAAAAAAAAAAAATGAATTTCAAAAAAAAAAAAAAAAAAAAAACTCACATTTGATTTAAATAACAAATAAAAAAAAAAAAAAAAAAAAAAAAAAACTCACATTTGATTTATATACTAATAAACAATTAATATCTAATTACAATAAATATATTCTACTAGATTAAGTTGATAATATATTATTTTATTTTTAACATATATTTTAAATTATATTATTTTTAATATTATAAATTTATTAAATCAACTATATATTTAGAATACTAATTGAGAAGTGTTATCTCATTCTAATTAGGAAATTCTAATTAGGAATTATAATCCTATTATAGAAAAGTTTTATCATAACATATCAACTATACATATGTTTAATTTTAATCATTTTTGGTTATCAAGTATTTGTAATTTTTGCTATCTAACAACTTTCTTTTCTTTTTTTTTTTTTTTTTAAAGACTATCTAACAACTTTTGGTTTTACTATCAAGAATACATTCAAGATTTATTGTCTTAACATTGGGTATTATTTTTATTTGCACTATATTTATATATTGTTTTTATAATTCTTTTCATATATATTTAATTAAATAGGAAAACCAAACACCTTAGTCTGTCATCTTTATTGATAGGGTAATAAACTTTAAAAATATGTATTCATTAGTATTATTAAAAATATTAATTTTTATTATCTCCAAATGAATATTAATAAACCAACTATTTGATATTTAATAGCGTGATATTTACCTGAAAGATATGTTTATCCCTAAATTAATAATGATAATTTTCTAATATATTCAAAATATCAATTAATAATATTGTACAAATTCAAAATTCAAACATTGTAGCTATACAATAGTGCCTTTGTGCATAATAAATTTATAGGGAAAATAATTATTTCGTCCCTGAGGTTTGCCATAATTATTTAAGTAGTCCCTGACATTTATATAAATATTTATAACGTCCCTGAGATTTACTTCTACTTCCATATTTAGTTAATTGATCATTCCGCCAAAAATTACACTCTTTCCGTTAATTTTGAGGGAAGAAAAGATGAAATTATCCTTTGGAAAAATAATTATTTGGTCCCTGAGTTTTGCCATAATTATTTAAGTAGTCCCCGATATTTATACAGATATTTATAATGTCTTTAAGGTTCACTTCCGTCACATTAATTGGTCCCTCCGTTCAAAAAATACATATTTTTCGTTAATTTTGAGAGGAAAAGATGAAATTATCCTTTATAAGTTTTCATTGACATTATTGTCAATCCCTTTCCTCTAAAATACTTAAAATTCAAATTTTCATCATCTTCTTGAACCCAACACGGTCTTCATTGCCACCACCATGTCTCTGTCAACCATTATCTCCATAACCAGATCACCATCAAAACTAAAAGGGAAAATAATTATTTCATTCTTGAGGTTTGTTATAATTATTTAAGTAGTCCCCGAGATTTATACAAATATTTATAACTTTCCTGAGGTTCACTTCTGTCGTATTACTTAGTCTTTCCGTCCAAAAAATACACTTTTTACTGTTAATTTTTAATAGAATGACCAAACTACCCTAAATCCTCTAATCAATGAGAGAAAGATAAATGGATGAATGGTGATGATACTACCCTAAATCCTCTAATCAATGAGAGAAAGATAAATGGATGAATGGTGATGATGGCTTGATTGAGTTTAGATGTTGGGTTTTAGTTTTGGTGGTGATCTCGTTATAGAGATGATGGTTGACAGAGACACAGTGGTGGCAATGAAGATCGTGTCGGGTTGAGTTAGATGGTGAAAATTTGAGTTTTAGGAATTTTAGCTGAAAGAGATTGACAATAATATCAATGAAAATTTATAAAGGATAATTTTCGTCTTTTCCTTTCAAAATTAACAAAAAAAATGTATTTTTTGGACGGAATGGGAAGTGAACCTCAGGGACGTTATAAATATTTGTATAAATGTCGGGAACTACTTAAATAATTATGGCAAATCTCAGGGATGAAATAATTATTTTTCCAAATTTATACAACTTATGTATGTTACAACTATATAAAATACCCAATTAAATTGAATAATAGAACTATTTATCTTTATCTCAAGAACTTATTATTTACTTAACTGTTTTATGCAAATATAAGCAATACAAATATATAAAAATGAACAAAATATATTAAAAATGATAAATTAAAAGTGAGAATAATAAATAACATATAAAAAAATATGTATGTGGAACATACACAATAATTATTAAGATAAACAGGAACATACATCAAATAAATTTACTAAGCTTTTAAAAAAATGAATTTACTAAAAAAAAAAAAATAGAAAATATAATAATGAATTTTGACATCTGAACAAAATGGTAATTTAAGAGTACTATCATATAAAGACATCGGATATGCATTGCGCTAAAAAAGATAAGAATTGGAATGTAAATTTGATATGATGTCGAGGCATTTTAGTAATTCAATCAATTTTAATAAAAAATAATTAAAAAATGGAAACGTTAAGCGTATATATAGCCTTCCTATGCTCTCCGCATAAACCCTTAACCCTAACACTCTGGGCGAAGTTTGCTGGCGGCGATTTTCTTTCTGAGGACGGAGAGAAGAAACCAGCGTAAAAATGGTAAAATTTCTCCAGCCTTACTTCGATAATGTTAGATTAAGTCAGTATGGTTTAGGTTTTCAGCCTTTCCAGTGTTGTATTCATCACGAATCTTGTGTTGAGGCATTGTTTGCCTGCCTATGCGGAAGCGAACAGGCTCTCTAACATCTCTAGCAGGGATATGGCGTTTGTTGTAGGATTTGCATATTTATTTTGTCTGATCTTGTTGATTATGGAGAAACAGAGATGAATATGTTAGGTTTCTCTACCCTACGGGTTTTTTAGGTTTATCAGATCGAAAAAATAGATTGATTTTATATTTTCGTTTTAGATCTGGATAAAGTTTGTTAAGTGGATTTTGAGAATTCCAAAAATTGTAGTTCAGCATTTTTTATCCTTTTATGCATTCCTGCGTCTTGGTTGAGTGGGTGCTTCTTTTTTGTCCTGCTTGGTGCTTTTGAACTGTTTAACCGATCTACTATGCAGGATATAGAAATAGATTCATATTGTTTTCGTTATTTGATAGATTGTTGGTGCATTCACTTTGAATGGGAGCATCACATGTATAAGTTGCTGTAGATTTCCAAGCTCTGTCATTTGTTTTTATTTACTGTTTTTTTGGTGCATTACAGGCAAGAGGGTTGAAGAAACACTTGAAGAGGCTTAATGCCCCGAAGCATTGGATGCTAGACAAACTTGGTGGTGCATTTGTATGTTACTAATCTGTGACTTGTTTTTAAATGTATTCCTTGTTGCTGTATTTCCGCCCCTTACGTTTTATATTTTTTTTTTGTCTTTATTGTGGCATTAGGCACCCAAACCATCATCTGGACCTCATAAGTCCAGGGAATGCTTGCCTTTGATCCTTATTCTGCGAAACAGGCTGAAGTATGCTCTCACATACCGTGAAGTTATTGCTATTCTGATGCAACGACATGTTCTTGTTGATGGGAAAGTTAGGACAGATAAAACTTACCCTGCTGGTTTCATGGGTATGTACATTTCACCTTCATTACTATGAGTTTTTCTTTTCGTATATTTTTGTTCTCCTTTTGTTTTAATTGATTTAATGTTCCAAATGCGAGTAGATTTTATTTGTGTAAGTGGGTGCTTGTTGAGGATGGCTAGCTAAGGGCCTCTTTCACTGAATTTTACTTACTCTGGCCAAATACAATACCATATGGATTTTTTTTTTTTGCGTCTTAGCATGATGTTCATTGTGATTAGCTTAAGATTGATCCCTCATGCCTAGCTTGTTGAAATAACATGATTTACTTCATCAATTTACCTACTTGCATGATGCAATGTCTGTTTGTAATGTTCATTTTGATCTGTCTAATAGATGTTGTATCAATTCCGAAGACAAATGAGAACTTCCGTCTCCTCTATGACACTAAAGGCAGATTCCGTCTCCACTCTGTTAGAGATGAAGAGGCTAAGGTTGGTTTGATTCTTTACTTGTGGCTTAAGTTTTTGTTCTTTTTTTTTTTCAGTTTATATTTAATGTTTATTTTGGCACTAGTGTGATAGAAATAATGCTAGTTGTTTTAGTATTTTTAATGCTTCTGTTTGTATGGCATCTGACATTTTTTGATTGTAATTTAATTGCGTTGGTTTATGCAGTTTAAGCTTTGCAAGGTTCGGTCTGTTCAATTTGGCCAAAAGGGCATCCCTTACTTGAACACCTATGATGGCCGCACCATTCGCTATCCAGATCCTCTAATAAAGGCTAATGACACCCTTACTTGAACACCTATGATGGCCGCACCATTCGCTATCCAGATCCTCTAATAAAGGCTAATGACACCATCAAGCTAGACCTTGAGAGTAATAAAATTACTGACTTCATTAAGTTTGATGTGGGAAATGTTGTCATGGTGACTGGAGGGAGGAACAGGGGGCGAGTTGGTGTCATTAAAAATAGGGAAAAGCACAAGGGTAGTTTTGAGACTATCCATATCCAAGACGCAACTGGCCACGAGTTTGCCACTCGCTTGGGCAATGTTTTCACTATTGGAAAGGGGACCAAACCGTGGGTCTCTCTTCCCAAGGGTAAGGGTATCAAGCTCTCGATCATCGAGGAGGCAAGAAAGAGGCAGGCAGCAGCAGCTCAAACAGTTGCATGATATTGTGTTGAAATGTTTAGAACAGTATTTTGATAGCATTTTGAAAATTTTATTTGAGTTTTTGATGCTAGAGTTTGTTGGCTTTTGACTATTGTTGCTTTACATTTTAAACTTTTTTAAGGTTTTTGAAGGGATTAATTAAAATATCAAATGAAGACTTTCTTTTGCATGGTCATTATAATTTTGCATCCGTGTCCAGTAACTTTTGATTCATAGGGTTCTCTGGCGCCGCACCTATTGACTTCCATTATGTTACATTAGCAAGAAGTTGAAAGTATTATTTAAGGTCATCTCATGTTCACGAGAGAAGAAGGGCTTTTGGTTATGTTATTAGCTTACAACAGGCATACGGAATGTTAACATGTTGAATTAAGTTCTGAATGATTTTTCAACTATTGGTTTGCAGTCTATTTAATGTTTATTATTTGGCTTAATGCATAGATTTGCTTTCGAAGTGAAAGTCATAACCAAGAAAATTCAGAAACCAAACAAGATCAAAAGATAATCTTGCTCGAGCATTCACGGGATATAGCTTATAGAAATCAAGACTTAGGATTCAAATTAATATGCCAAATACGATTTCTTTGTAATTTTTCAAAATAATACAAGAAAGTTCAAGTAAACAAAAGTAAAATGCTAGAATAGAGATTTTCCGGAGTCAACACAGTCGGGGAATTCAGAGTGTGTGAGAATGAGGCTAGAGGGCCTATTCATAGTAAATTTCAAAGTCAAAAACGTCAAAAAGCATAGTCGAAACGCGATCCAATAGAAAGCTAATATGTGGCAGGGCCTGATGTGAGGTTGTCGCCAAGGCAAAGTGCGGAGTAGTTTATTTTAAGGGAAGATAGGATGATGAATCTATAGTTGTAGAGTGTTGGTTAGAGAGCATAGATAGAGTCCTACAACAGATTCAGTGCACACCTATAACACCCCTTATCTAAACCTGTAGGACTACATAAAAGATGTGACATTTTATGCCAAAAGCACGAAATACCACAATCAAATCTATCTTAACATGCTATTATCATTTATGCTTTTTAGAATCATGAACAAACTATAAACACTTAAGAATGTATCTTAAGAATTTCTACGGAAAAACTGCAAAAGTTTCCTCTAAAAATTTACTTAAACCAAAAACCTGCAAAATAAGATAGCACTTCCTTAATCATCGTCTCAATACTACAAGATGTCTCAAATCTCAAGTAACATCAACCCAATCATCAGATCACTCATGTATTAAACATTATTAATACAGCTCAGATGAATTCTTAATGTAAGAATAAAAGTAGTTACATGAATTCTTTAGCTTTAAAGGCTCTAGTGATCAAATGGAGTGACAATATGAAATTTTATTTGTTGTTGTGGTAGCATCTAACTTAGTTATTTTGGTTAAGTTTTGCTTAACGAAAAGGAAAGGTTACAGTGTATTGAGATTATAAATTCAATTCTTGCTAAGAATTGGTTAGTTAAAGTATACATATTTGGTTATGCTTAATAGATAATTTTATACCTATAATGTTGCTTGGTGAAGATGGTGATTCACGGACTTTTTAAGTTGTTACATGAGATCTTAGTTAATGTTGGTAAAGGCAATGTGAGCTATAACATTATATGATTGTTTGAGTAAATGATCGGATAGTTTAAAGTAGTAGGGTGTGGAGTTTAAACAAATAACCATTTTCACTTAGTCGCATATTTATTTACTTATTTGTTTAATCTTAGTAAAGCTATGAATATTTATGTATTAGTAGCAACTGATTTGTATCGATGTTGAAAGCTCAGATTAAGAAAAGCTAAGGTATTGTATGGATGGTTAAATAACTATTTTGTTACTTTGTTGGAAGAAGGGAGAATTAATTTGACTTGATTGATTGTCCGGCGGATGGACAATGTGGAATTAATGAATATTGAATAAAATTATTGATATTTAAATAGGTGGATAGTTCAATTTTCAAGGGAGATGCTGTCGAAATTTCGACAAAATCTAGTCTAGTTATAACAGTTAGATACGTAGATAATAATTTATTAGACTAATTCCATAATTCTTTATTTAAATTTGTCATTTGTCTGATGCAATTCTTTCCTTGTATTCTTAAATTCTTTAGATCGTCTGGGCCCATTTACTGCTCCTTCGAGTCAAAATCCGAGTTAGAGCTTTTTTTATTCTCTAACACTGTGAGTAATAATAAATAGTGCATATCATAATTGCATACAAATATCATTTATTTTACAAAGAAATATGTATAAACGAAATAACTTAGTATCTATATTTATATGTATACTATTATTTTATTGTTAATATATAATTATACTTCTATGTTTGTGCATTAAGGATTGCTTTGGTGCATTATGTTGAATGAATTCTTTGATTACTTATGCTGTGAAAATTGTTATACCTTGTTTGTGTGGAATTGGGATGAAGTGGGTCATCACGAGTTTATGAGGGCAGTCAATGGTACTGTCGACCACGTATGGGGAGATCAATGCCTCTATGTGCATCTATATATGATTGATATGGATAAACCATAGGGTGGCCTCCTGTTGGTATGGAAAATAAAAGAGAGTATAAAAAAAATGAGAAGGCTAGTCAAGTGAGGATTAGACCGATCAACCATGTAACCATAGGGTGGCCTCCCTGTCTGGTATGGAAAAAAAAGAGAGTAAAAAAAGGGTGGCCTCCTGTTGGTATGGAAAATAAAAGAGAGTATAAAAAAAATGAGAAGGCTAGTCAAGTGAGGATTAGACCGATCAACCATGTATGAGGGATCGGCTCCCTAGTGCACATGTTTGAGGGGGTAGGCCATATATGAGGACGACTTGTTCGGGAGTTTCGGTGACGCCACTGATCAATTTCAACTTGTTTGATTACTTGAAGGTAAAATTACTTGTAGGTGCTGATGTTGTGCCATATGTTTGACCGATTGTGTGTTCATCTTAGTATTTTAGAATGCATTTCACGTAAATACATGCGTTATGTATTATTTATTATTATTCAATGAGTTGCAAAACTCACTCCTCTCTTATTTAAGTTCTCAGGAGGTAGGATTCCCTTCAAGTCGGCTAAAGCTTTGCAACCTTCTCCGCTAGGCTATAAAAGTAAATTTCTAAATTTCTGTACTTCATTAATTAATGTATTATTATATATAATAAGAACTTCACTACTTCTAAATATTATTGAACTCCGGTTGTAGGATTTATGTACCTCTAATCATGTATTAGAATAGATATACTAATCTATGAATATGTGAATGTCTTAAATTATTTATCTAAGGCATGTATGAACTAGTAGCCCATCATATGAACGTGGCGTATAACAGATAGGCCCGAACTATGTTTTATTTGAGATGTTTGAGATTGGGTTAGAAATGTGTCATTACTTGATATATATAATAATATGCGCTTACTATTCCCAGAAACCAATTTGGCATGTACGGATTTTGTGGTTTAGGCTTACTATGGACCTCGGGGGTCTTAAGCTTACCTTGGCCCTAGTGCCGGTCTGGCCCATGATTTCAGGTCGTGACAAAGTTGGTATCAGAGTTTAGGATAATATTTCTAGATGAAATTGCGAAGTTATTTCTGTTATGTCTTGATGTAGTTTTCTTTGCCTCTTAAATCCCAGCTTGACCGTCTTAATAGTCATATTATTAGAATTAAGCTAAGGGATAGAATTTTATGTTAGTAGGATAGGACTTGTTATGTTTTGATGATTTTGTTTTATGCTTTGAATTTCAGCATGGTGAACACTAGGAAGAGAGCATCTAATAATGCGGAGCGAGATACTCCAGATGAGGCTTCTTCCTGGCATCCAGCCCCAGCTAGACACTGAAGGGGTAGGCCTGCTAGAAATGTGTTTAATCAAGAGGAAAGAGTTCAGCAAAATCAAAATGAGGAAAATATAGCTGGAAACCCCCTATAAGTAAACATGTTGATGACTGGACTTCAGCAGGCCATAACTACTATGAATAACATGCTGATGCAATAACAACAGTTCTTTCAGGCTCATGTACCTCAGACTCAGTAGCAACAGCAATAGATACCTCCTCCCTTACCCGATCCAGCATCTCAGCCATTTCAGCTGGCTCCACCTCAGTTGGTCTGAGGGTAGCTAATGACACACTCTTTATGACAGATTCATTCAGTATAAGCTGCCTAAGTTCACAGGGACCGAGGATGCTCATCCATTTTTAGCCAAAATTAAAGAGTTTTGTGTTGAGTTGGGCTGTGATAATGAGAGGTACATTGTATTTGCAGGCCGTAGGATGGAGGGTATAACTGAGATATAGTTTAGAGACTATGTTTAGCCTTCTGTCACCGATATGTCTTGGCAACAATTTTCTACTCTTTTTATGAACCAATTTGTACCAGAAGGGACTAGGAGAGACAGAATGAGGAAATTTGAGTCTTTGGTTCAAGGAGATATGTCAGTTGATGAGTATGCAGATATGCTTCGAGATCCATACTAAATGAGGGCACTAAGATATACAGGTTCATTAGTGGACTAAATTCGATATATGCTACTATGTTCTAGTAGAGGGAACAAGATTTTAGTGCTGTGATTGATTCAGCTAGGAAAATGGAGACTAAGTATATTTCTGATGGGGTGATTTCAGGCAGAAGAGGTGGCAGGATTGCAGCTCCATTTGGGAATCTTAGTGCACCAAAGGTGAGTGGATCCTTTGCTATGAGTACGCAGCATCCGGGTCCTGAATTCTAAGAAAGAGGAAGTTTGGGTAAGAAGAAAGATAGAAAGAAATTTGGGCAAAAAAAGGGTATTCCTACTGGTAGTTCTAGCGTGGATACAGTTCTGGTTTTAGCAGCAGTAGATCTAGTGGGACAGTGTGTCACAGATGTTGTAAAACTTATAGGGGGATGTAATTTTGATGTTAACACCTACTACAGATGTCACTAGACTGGGCATTATGTTAGAGATTGCCCATTTCTTTAGCTACGACCAAGGCCATCTCAGTCTTCTATGGGTAGTGTCTAGACCCCCTACTATCGCACCTTCTGCATTTGGCTGGAGATTTGCAAGCCAGCAAGGCCGCAGTTCTTTTGCTAGAGGCAGAGGTCAGAGCTCAGGACAAGCTTCATAGCAATCTACAGGAGGACAACCATCACTTTTTCATCTGACCCAGGGGGATGCTCAGGCATCTCATGCCGTGGTGGCAGGTAT